AGTGGAGTAAGAAATATAATTAAAAATCCCAATCACAGGAATGATATAGCAAAGTCAGGCTATTTAGAAGTAGGAAACTCACAATAGATAAACAAATTGCAGAGTAGTGACGTTGGAAGGTAGCCTGGCTGCGCCCTCCTACGCACTTCCGCTCTATTTCATTCTATGTACAAATGAAATGTACTAGAGTCTGGTTGAACCAGGCTAGTTGGAAGGGGCATGTTGATTTGAAACATGGTGGGAACAGCAATATACAATAAGATAATTGAATATGTCTGTAGAGATAACTGATCCAATTGGATTCATTGGATTTGAAAGCAAATCCAAATGGTGTTAGTTAAAGTTAATCACTCGACTTCCATGGTTTGCTTTATGTCATACAAACAAAGTTGTTATTTCATGGTAAAAATAGGCCTACTAGAAAAAAATCATTTTCATAATTTTGAATTCAGAATATTGTTCGCAGTAAAAGACTTTGCTTTACTTATTTCACTTCCTGTGAAGTGACTTCCATGATATATTTTCGACTTGAATGTGAAATAAGTTAGAAGTGCTGATAAAAAAATAAGGAATAAAAAGTTGTGACAGTGCTGTGCAGTTACACAAAAGTGCAAATGAACAAATGCTATGACAGGGCATCCATTATCTCTGATTCATAAGAAACAGAGTAGCTTTCCAACTACTCCACCGGAAAGATGGTATGCATCATTTACAAGACGGTCTCAAATTAAGATTGCCGTTGACCTTGAAAACGGGATATAATCATGTGCTTTACCACTCAAGAGCAATTAAAACACATCAAAGTGTTGGTCTGAGTAAAGGAGAAGTGATGCTTTTTTGGTTCTTGGGTTGTTTGTTTGGTTGGTTGGTTGTGCGCTTTCCCCAGTTTGAGCATTAAAATGGGCATGGAATGCGAGTATGCGTGTGCTAGACTGTGGCGGGACTGTGTGTCTGTGAGGGATGTGGTGCAACGAGGAAACATGGGGCAGATTCTCATGCGAGTGGCGTGTGTGTGATTGTGTGTAGAGAGACTCGTTTGTGAGCGTAGTGCTGTTTATGTTAGTGAAGGTTTAGGCATGAGTGTGTGTGTGTGTACGTACGTGTGGAAATAGTCCTCTATTCTTTTGGCACCAGTAGAGTCAGTGCTGCAACCACAGCTTCCAGTATGGGCCACCGCAATCACACGAGACCAGCTTTCCCACGGGGAGGGGCCATGGAGAGAAAGAGCACTAAAGAAGGAATATGACCCACAAAGGAACAGGCAGGGTAGATATTTTCCTGTCAACATGAAAATAAGGTAGTATGTATAGATTGAAAGTTTCTCCTGATCAAGAAATCTGACCTGAGCTTGTTTCTTTAGAATGGAACTGGGAAATCTTTACCATAATTGTATTGTTGCTTTGGTGCATTGTCTTCAACATCTCACCCCATTTTACACTATAATATGCGGACTGTGGCTAATTTAACCCTTTTTAGATGTATAACAAACTGGCAAAGCTATTCTAGCATAGGATCTGTATTTTCACTGCAAAGTTTGTTATTATATGACCAGTGTTGCATGGGGAAAATGACTTTTAAAAGTAATGTATTACAATATTGTGTTACTCCCTAAAAAATCAACTTTTTATGGAAAGTAATGTTACACTTTTGTGTTAGACCTGTTTTTAATAACAAAAAAAGTTATATTTTTGGCAAATTTAAAACAGGCCCTTTTATCAACAAAATTACATCAGGGTTTCCCAAACTCAAAAAACATGCATAAGCAAGGCTGTTTCAGAAAGAAATAATTTTAAAGATTTAAATTTAAAAGATAAAAAAAGAAGAATTAATGAGAATCAATAAAATCATGTAATCATGTTTATGTGATCAGTAAAATCATAACTGTAGTCTGATTGTGAGTATCTTAAAATTGAATACAATCTAATTACAAGATTATGTACTTCAGATTACATATCAGCTACTGCCCAGCACTGATAATGACTCACAGTAAGTGAAGAAAGCCTTGAGCGATATGCACTGAAATGTAATGTACAGTAAATGAGCCTATCAAACTACATGATACACTGATAATAGTGTCTCTCATCCTCGTATTAGGCATCAACAGATACATTATAAACATCATTGCCCTCTACTGGTCATGTTCTGAGAAAATCATCCCATAAATACCAGTGGTTCTCAAAGTGGGGCCTTAACTTCCAAGGGGCCCACTGGATGTCTTGGATGTATTTAAATGGATAAATGGAACTTGAGTTTTAATTTTACCTTCATTGAGAGAAGATATTACTATGACAAAGGCCTACACAAAAATCACCTTAACTTTAACTCAAATGAAAATCAGTTCTATCATTACTGAGACTTGAGTTTCTTTGTCATGACGAATTTAGATAATTTCAATCAATTTAATAGCTTTTAATTTCACAGAATATAATATTGTTGATACCACAGTCCAGAGAAGAAGAAGAAAAAAAAAGAAGAAAATGATGCAACTGAGATGTTGCCATCAGCTCTAAAGACACTTAGACTAACATACACATTAGTAACAAAGAAACATTTATTAACAACAATTAATGATTATAGCTGACAACCGACACGCATAAACTTTCTACATATATTTACTTATTTTCCATATATTTATATATACATATGAAGAGTTCAGATGCAAAAGCCTCTAAATGCCATTTGAAATTTTCTTCTAAAATGACCATTTTTATAAAGCTTGTATATTTAAGTTCAGTAATTTCACTTAAATAACAATTAATAGGTAATCTTCATTGCCATTTAAGTGAAATTACTGTACTTAAATATACAAGCTTGATAAAAATGATCATTTTAGAAGAAAATTTCAAATGGCACTTAGAGGCTTTTGCATCTGAACTCTTCATATATTAAACATATATTTATATATTTTCCACAAATTTTTACTATGTCTGCAGCGCAGACGCCGTTTGTTTATTTTGTTTACAATAATGTGAAATGATGTTGACTAGTTTTAGCAAAATACTTTTGTTATATGTGTGAGTGTTTTTGAAGGGAGAGACAGTGAGTTGCAGACTACTTACCACTTGTTTGCGATGATGGATCCGCCACAATAATGCTTGCCGAGGCAATTTAGCCGTTCTGAGTAAACACCCCTAACGCCTTGATTGTGAAGAGGTGTAATTTTCCACAATACATCTTCCCTGTGACAAACAACCATTCAGAATAATTATATATTTTTCGAGACTCTGTTAAGAGTTTTTTGTTCATTTTTCGAGATCAAGTTCCTGTAATAGCTATTTATAACTCCCCTCCAAGTGACAGCGTGTTGCTCTGACGCACGTGCACCTGCAGCACCATGGACAGCAACACAACCAATCAACATGTCATATTATGTATACTTTTTATTTAAAGAACGTTAATATTTACAAAACCGTTACAAAATTTGTGAAAGTTGTGGGAACGTTGTTAGCTGAGAAGAATGGAAAGAGAAAACAGGACTGTGGACAGCGGTCGATATCAGGGAAGTTAAACTGGCAATAAAAAACTGGATATAAACACACAACAGGATATAAAACGCAGTTTATAACTTAGCTGAACCACCACCGCCCACCGATTTATCGTATATTGTTAGGAATAATATGTCTGAAGAGAAAGTGATAGTTACTCAACTTTTAGTGAAGGCGTCGGGTATGAAAGCCATCCACTGTGTTTCTGAACGCGTTAATATTTTGGGCGAACGTGAACTGAAAGTACGTTATACACGTACGTTGTACGCCGTCGACAAAGCAGCGCGCGAGGAGGCGTCATATTTTATGACGAAGTCGGTGACGATGGGAAAAATCTTTTTTAAAAATCTATTTATCGACTGCCCGTCGATAAAATAATTGTTGTCTGGTTGTATAGGGTTGTATATTGGGCTATGGCAACAATAGCCTAATGAAAAAAGCTCGCAAAATGAACTAGTTCATTTTAAAATGTGTGAAATGAACTTTGAACTTGTTCATGTAACGTTAGAAAGTACGAAAGTACTTGTTCTATCTGGGTAAGTAAGTACATGTACACACACGTAAGCATACACACAAGCTGTGTTACTGCTAGGCTATAGACCATTTCACAAGATGTAAACAACACTGGTCCAGAAACACTTCCTGTTTCAGTTTGTAACTGTTTTCTTTATTTCACATGTAAAGAAAACATCTTAAAGATGTTTTTTTTATTTTTTTTATTCAGTTTTAAATGTTCTGTTGGTTGTATTTTATCCCAGCTTTTATGTAGTGTTAAAAAACTGAAACAGGAAGTGCTTCTGGACCAGTGTTGTTTACATCTTGTGAAATGGTCTATACAAGATTTTCAAGCCAATCACATTTGAGCAAAATCAAATTTACCTTTAATTCAAGGTAAACAACAGTAAATATCACCGTAAAAGGCTGCAGTCACAATAAAAACAAATTTAAAACAGACTAAGCGCAATTTATTTATGACAGGATTATGTAGGTCAGCAAAGTATACATCATACATTTTTCATTGGATTACATTTCGAAGAAAGTAGAAGTCATGTAGGAGAGTATTCATATATTGGATTGATTTTTTTTTAACATAATTGATTATTTTTTAAAATAATGCGTTTATTCAGTAAGAATGCTTTAAATTGATCAAAATTGACAGTAAAGACGTTTAGAATATATATAAAAAAACTAAATTGTATTCCAACTGGAGTAATGGATGCTGAAAATTCAGATTGGCCATCACGGGAGTAAATGGCATTTTAAAATACATTAAAATAGAAAACAGTTCTTTTAAATAGTAATATTGTTTTGTTTTATTACATTTCACAATATTACTGTTTTTACTGATTTTTATATCAAATAAATGCAACTTTGTTGAGGATATACGGTGGCCCAGTAGCACGAGACTCTTCTTTCAAATAACAAAAAAAAAAATCTTACCAACCATAAACTTCATACCCAGTAATGCAAGTTTTGCCTTGAAAAACGAATTTATAAATGGAACAAACTCAACACTACATTTGTCTATTCATTTTATTGTTTTGTCATTAGGAAAAAAAGCACAGTAAGGGGGCCTTGATAGCGTGCAGCATCATATTCTGTGTGTGTACAGAGCCAATAGGCCAAAATAATAATACTGGACAGCTTAAAGCCTTTACACGATCAAAGCATTTCTCACCGACGCACGTTGATGTGCCGTAAGCAGTCGTTTAGTCCATTTGACAACGTTCATGTAAAATGCATTGTTTTATAACTTAGCCGAGCTTTGGCTTTCGTTAAGATGCAGAAAATCAAACTGTATATATCAATTCATTGAAAAGCAGCTTGTTGCATTAGATGCTGATATACTTGTAGTTTTACATACTGCATTACCTTATTAAAGAGGTAAGTAAAGGATGCTTATAGCAAATAATACTTAACGGGGGAAACTTTTGAAGCATTTTAGACCCCTCACACTAATCAGGGTCAGTATAGCTTAAGTGGCTGGATACAAAGAGCTTTGAGTATACAAAAACAGAGCCATGATCATCTGAATATTACTTTCAGATTACACCTGAAAAAAAAAAAAAAAAAAGAAGAAGTGAAAAATAATATGTACAGTTTGGTAAGCTTGACAAGTCACATTTCTACACAATGAACCATTATTGTGAGAAACACTTGATTTCCATGATGGTGAAAACGGATCTTCTCATTCAACTGCCAAGTTTGGTTCTACCTGAGTTTGTGTATCTATCAGGGGTGTATGTCCCATCTTGTCCTTTAACTATTGCATATGACAACTAAGAGACTGTTCAGCTCCTAAAATTCACACAGACTCCTAACTGGGTTCAGTGCGCCCCTTCTGTCAAATTAAACACCTGTCCTGCAGGTTTCCCTAGACTGCTCGCACGAGATAATACCATGGTGAAACTGCAGTATATGAGAAATGAAAGAAAACAGTTTTAGCATGATAAGAAAGTTACTAGTTTGCACCTTATGCATCTTTCCCTCTCGCGGGAAGCGTTAAGACGGTCTTGGAATGCACAATATACTATATAGAGTAAATATTGCCGTTACTACAAGCGTGATTACTGTAGATACATAGAGTGGCCTCCCTACCACTAGAGGCACCAGAGAATTTAGTGTGTCAGGCTTGGCTGTAAACAACCACGTCAAGCCACTTTGGAACAAAAGTGTGACTCGGCTCATCGCTTAATCGTCATCAATAGCCTCTCTTTTAGATTCATCCAGTTTCCGCTCCATGAGTTGAGAGGCCGGGCTTGGAAGAGACACCACTTCCACAGGAGGTAGCATGGCACCTTCTGGCTCAATGTCTTTTCTCTGGGAGAGATCCTCCTGGAAACAAACCCATCACATTCAAACAAACAATCTTGACCACAAAAGCAGTCCAGATAGAACATTTACAACAACCTGCTCAGAGAAACGCTGGCTCATGACTTGATCTCCAAACTCCTGAGTCTCAATCTCTTCGCTGTTGGAGTGGCAGCTGGGGCTCGGCACCTCTATCCCATGGCTCTCTAGTATGGCAGCCTCTGAGTGAAACAGCGAGAAAGTGTTTAGTATAAAGAGATAACGATGACAGTTTAGAAATCCTGCAAAGGCTTTTCTGTCAAGCAAACGAAATTAATGCTTCCAATAAAACAAACAAACATCTAATTGCCTGTCCACAAGTCACAGGATTACACACTAACCTTCAAACGTTTGGGATCTTTTTTTTTTTTAAGAAATTAATACTAAAAAAAATTTAGCAATGATGCAATAAATTCATTAAAAGTCACAGTAAAAACATGTATAATATTACAAAAGATTTCTACTTAATAAATTAGTGTGTCACAGACTGGGTTCGGTAATGAAAGGCTTTCAATGACCAATAATTCAGACCGACAAAATAATAAAAAATACATTCCTCTTCTTTTACATAATAATAATAACAACATTCTTCGTCTAAATAACAATAAGCATCATTAATAATACAAATCATAATAATAAGAAGAAGAATATTACAAATTGTCATGCAATTATTAATGTGAATGAATGGTACTCCACATCACATCATCATCACTATTGTACATCCCAATACATGTGACATGATTCGAAAGTGAATGCTAATTCAAAAGAAGTGTTGTAAAATAATGCACTGTGATACCGTAGGTCATTTCGACTTCTTTGCCTTCTTCCGTGTGTATATGGCGTAAAATGAGGGTGTGGGCGAAGCGGAGACTTGAATATTCTAATGACGATCGTTTTCAGCCACTGGATTTATCAAGGGCAGGCATTGCGTACACTTGGATTTCAAAGGTACGCACAGCTTCATAAATCAGGCGGTGAAAGGAGTGTAAGCATAAACTTGCGCCAACATATACGCCCGTTTCTATGCAAGAATGATTAATGAGGGCCAATGTGATTTGGCACTATGGAGGCTTACTGTGTATAATATTCCACATGGAGTACTAGAGGAAAAAAACTAAAACTTTAGGCTTCTGATTCTAATGTCACTTCAATCAGTGAGTGTCAGTCTACAATTGTTACAGCCTCACCTATGTTGGCACGTCTCTTCATCTCCTTCCTCCGATTGGCAAACCAGTTGTACACTTTGAGCGCAGTGACTCGTTCAAATTCTGACAGTTTGCATCCTGAAACAACACGAATACAAGAAATTCATCATTTAAATCAATAAGTAAATTAGCATTCAGTGAGGCAGGGGTACATTTGCAACAAAAATGGCATGGCTAAGATATGACTGGTCTGGTTCTGAGGAAGCTTAGATACTGATTGCAATCACTTACCAGGTTTTTGAATGACAGCATTACAGGCATTGGCAATTTCCTCTCTTTTGGCCTCATCAGGATACTGATTCTCAATAAAGAAACTAAGAGAACAAACGCAGTGAATAAGATCAAGACTTGGAAACCAACCAAAAGGAAACAGTAACGGCCTTAAAACACTGATTAATTAAATAGGCTACTTTTATTCACAACATTGGCAATGACATTAGGTGGAAAAATGCTTGCGAATGGAGAAAATGTTCCACTTTTATGGGAACACAGTTACCATACCTCACTATGAAATTAAAAAGATGACAATATAATTGTGCCATCACAATAAATTCAGAATTCCAACGGTAAATCAAAAATAGTGTTTGGATGGATGGTTTTTGTTTTTTTATATTAATTGATAATATGTCAACATTGGAATGAATTCATTGTACTTATGCAGCCATCACTCCCATTAATAGTCTCTTATCCATAAAAGGCGTGATTAATCACTTGGAAGAAGAGCGAGGACCGTATTTAACTTTGTAAGTTTCATCTTAAAGGAGCCATGCACTTGTTCATTTACATATGTCACCCGAAGAAACCATTACAATCCGAATTTACCTCTCCATGATTGACTGGCACTCTTTTCTCCAGGTGAAGCGACTACCTCTGCGCAGTCTAAAAGGCCCAACCGCTGCCCTGTCAGCGGGGCTTGCAGCCAACCTCCAGTCGGGCTCCTCTTTAACCAGGGAACGCATGGACAATGTGGTGCCTGTTATGAACATTATTGCACACAAACCAAAATAACAGTAGAACATGAATTCACTGCACATACAAACTAAAGGGATGGTTAACCAGAAAATACAAATTCTGTCATTTACTAACCCTAAAGGGGTTCCAAACCAACATGACTGTCTTCCTTTCATAGAACACATAAGGAGATACTTATAGAAGAATGTCCATGCTGCTCTTTTCCATGAAATGAAAGTGAATCGTGGCAATAGCGGTCCCTGGTCCCCATCCATTTTCATTGCATTTCATTTTATGTTAAATTTCTCAAGTTTGTGTTTCACAGAAGAAAGAAAATCATAAAGGATTAGAAAGACACAAAGTTGTTATTTTTTAAGGAACTATCCCTTTGAGTCTAAAGAGCCATTCTAAAAAACCTTCAAGCCATCTTCCCACTATTTCTGACATTTGCATTCAATTGTATTTTGTGCCATTCGCACAGAATTTGCATATTGGTCGTGAAGAATAATAAAAGTGATTATTTTTAATAATACGTCTAAAAGAAAAGCAAAGAATGGTTATTATTGTAAACTAAAACCATAAAAAACTTTCTTTACTTGAAAATGAAAAAAAATATATATATATAATAATAAAAAATGATATATATATATATATATATATATATATATATATATGTATATATTACTGTATATATATACATATAAACATTAATATATATTAAAAATGAAATATATATATATATATATATTATTAGCTTTATTATATATTTTATATTTACACACACACACATATATATATATATATATATATATATATTATATATACATAAAATATTATATATATATACTGTATATATATATATATATTACTGCCTACATAATATATATATATATATATATATATATATATATATATATATATATATATATATATATATAGTTTTTTTCATTTTTATATATATTACTGTCTATATATATATATATATATATATATATATATATATAGGACAACCTACCTGGGCTGTAACTTAAACGTATATTATTTAAGCTAATTGCCAAGGCAAAATGTCTTATTTTAATTTAGTTTACTAAAATAGTTTTCAAAAATAACTAAATAAAAATGAATAAAATAAATGATAGACATGTTTTTTTTTTTTTTTTTAAAGAAGTCAAAAACATAAAACAAAATTATTAAAACACTGACCAAAAAATATTTATCGGAACTCTCCCATTCTACTCTCCATTGGAAATGAATTACTTCTGGCATATTGTTTGTTGAAGAGAGTGAAAAGGTGATTTCCCAAACCATTTTAACTGAAGTAAACTTAAGCAGTGTTTCCCTGCTGCATGGATGTTACCTGACTGGGCTTGGTGAGCAGAGTACCAGGGGAGGAGGTGCATCAGCAGTTCTCTCTGCCTATTCCAGGGGGTGTCAGTCCTGCTCCTGGGGACCTGAGCATGCTGGTTTTCACTCCATCTGATTCCTTCAACCCATTTGGGCAATCAGAAAACTGTGTTAACTAGGGTCCCTTCGAGAGGCCGAAAACTTGCAATTAATGGTGATGACCGTAAACAAATATTAAAATAGTGCTCAATGAAAAACCTTGTAGATAGTTAATTAAGTAAAAATTCATTGTAGATAGCAGCGTTAATAGACATTCAAAGTTGGAGCCATGCTCAATTAGCGCAGCAGAGAATGTAAAAGCGTCATGCTCAGGGCTTTGTTAGTAGGGTCGGGTGTTAATTGCACTTCAGTGCAAAGCGGACATGAAAACCAGCATTTGACAAACCCAGGATCAGGACTGAGAGCTACAGAAGAGGTTCTAACCTGGGAGATGAAGAGCAGAAGTGGTCCTACAGGGCTTCACATTACTTAATTAGCTCCTTCAAGCATCAACGTGTTTTCTGTATTATAAATGCGAGATGATGCGAGTGTTGGCGGTGTTACAGCCTAAAAGGCTTTAAAGCTAATTTCTGACTGCAACAACCTACACTACATGTGCCAAGAATAGCATTAACCCAAGCGCATAACTGATGGGAAATGACACCAGTTGATTTCATTTCAATTCAGTATGGCGACATGGCATGTCCTTCCAATATATTTGTCTTTATCAAACACTCAATTTTCAAATGTAAAGCCCTCAAGGACCGTGCAAACTATATAGGGAAAATATGGTATAATGGCAAGTGAAGACCCCCCTCCCAAAAAATAAATAAATAAATAAAAATAACTGAACATAAGCCAGCCCCCAAGCCTAAAATTCAGGCCACGCCCTTGTTTTAGGCAAGTCATCTCCCTGCTGAGGAAGCACAACCTACCTGGGCTGTTACGCTCCAGCAGGTACCAGCGATAGAATGCCCTGCGTTTGGAGTCGCTCATCTCAAGCCCCTGCTGCAGAAGCCACTGGGAGATGTAGCTCTGACTGATACCTGCAGAAGACCATACAGTCATAAAAAAGGAAATGACACGAAAATACCAGAATAAAACCAAAGATGCCAGGGTTAACTAAAACTAAACCTATTAACGACATTTTAGTTCATTTAAATAAAGCTGAAATACAACAAAATAGAAATATTAGATGAAAACCCTAAAATTATGTTGGTTTGGCAACTAACTAAAATCAGTTTAAGTTGATGCACTAAAATTACTAGCTGGAAATAAATAAAACTGAACTAAAACTAAAAAAAAAAAAGTGATATTACAGAAAGGTAATACTTTAATTTAAGTTCCCAATAGTTAAAGTTAGTCAATACATGAACTATGAGCAATTTATTTGTTACAGTATTTAATTAAATACCATTAAAATAGATTGTTTATTATTACTTCATTAGCTCAAGTCCGTTACACAATAGTAACAGATACAACTTTTAAAATGAATAATATATTAGTAAAATTTTGAAATTAATTATTACTTCATTAGCTCAAGTCCGTTACACAATATTAACAGATACAACTTTTAAAATGAATAATATATTAGTAAAATGTTGAAATTAACATTAAATTATATTAATACATTATTTAGAATATTTTTTCCTTGTTAGATTATGCTAACGAATGTAGTTAACGGAATGAACAAATGGAATCAGGTTAAAAAAAAACTGACAAAAGCTAAATAAAACAACAAAATAACTAAGAAAAAATCAAATGAAAATACTAATAAAAAACTATAATAGTACATTGCTTTTATATAAATACACAGGCTCCAGCCATTTTTAAAATATTGTTGAAGTAAAATAAACTAAAAGTCCGGCATATGATTGATGTACTGTAATTTGACTTCCAACAAACTTGAATTTCAAACAAATATCTTGCTTTTTTGACACACACAAATATGAATAAAAAAAGCATATGTCCTCAAAATAAACTGATTATATACAGTAGATAGTAAAAGCATTTGTACTCTGTGTAACTATCTTTCACTATATAGTATAATCTCTGTAATAGTCTGTATAAAGTAATGGGAAATTATTTAACTAAGGGATGAAAATGCAAACTGAACTTGCAATCAGTTGTTTCCATAGACTAAAGCAAGTTTGTTGTGCAGTCATGTTCGATATCCATCTTCTCACGCGTTTCGTCAGCTCTGACCTCTTTGCAGCAAGATACAGTATTATCCGTTTCACATGCTTGCTGATTTTTTCAACCGTGTCAATGTTTTGGTTATCGAAGTTGTGTAAAAACATTACTAATATACATCTATCCTGTTCAGGTAATAGTAAATACTTTGTGAAAGTACAGTAAATGAATATAGGTTAAATGGTTTTAGTAAAACTACAGTCATTCTCTGACAGTTTTGCATGATTAGAAAAGTAGCATGTACACAGTTTTTTCCATTGCGAGACTGAAAGCATTCACAGTACCTGTGACTTGTCCAACAATTGCCTGTGAGATCCTTCTGTTATTGAGAAAAGCTTTTATCTCTTCTTTCACAAGGTTACTGTCTCTCCTACAGTCCAAACAAAGACAAGCATAACATTGACAAAGTCAAAACATTAGGTTTTAATTTTCATTAAGCATTAAAAATGTCAGCTGCTTTAAAATATTTCATCATAAATCTCATCATAAATGTTTAAATGGGGAAAATATTATGTGGCAGATCCAAAGCAGTCACAATAAAAGCTAAAAAAAGTATCTCTGAACCAACTGTCCATCTGACCTGATTCAGAGAGGGCTCTTGTTCTAGGAAAATTACACTGTTGCTCAGGGACGTTCACCGTCATTATCAACTGTTATATTAATCTCTACATCTCAGTGGACCTGAGAAGAGAATCCCACAGAAGCAGCTGATATAGTGCACTCATAAAAAATACCTCATGTATTCCTCCACCTTCTCCTCCAGATCCCAGTCCTCTTCTGCCAAGTCGTAACTAAACGACCTCTGAACTCCGCTGGGTGGGTATAGGGGTGGAGGCGAGGCATCGTAGCTGTTGCTGGGTGATAATGCAGCATCTATGACAGGGGTCTGTGTGGTGGCTGAGGTAAGAGAGGAGGAGGAAGAGGAGGAGGACGAGGGGGCAGCAGGGGCTGCGGAGGTAGGGGCGCTGGGTGGGGCCGAGTGATTGTTGCAGCATGGGACACGATGGTCTGGATCAAGCCTCTCTAAAGACTCGAGGGCTTGAATGATCTGAGGTTTGGTCATCCCGGACAGCCTTAAACGCTGGAGCAGGTCGATCTGTTCAATGGTATACCGCGGCTCCACATCACAACACTCCATCCTGACATCTGTGGGAGAAGAAAAGACAATACTGTTATTACATTAAACATCAGATGAGAAGTGTGTAGTTTATGGACCACTAATGTGACCCCAACAACAAAAATAGCAGAAGAGTGTCATTTTTGGGGCCTGTTTAAAAATGAGTTGTTTTGGTGCATACGACCTTAAATGCAAATGAGCTGCATAATCCCCGCCCTGCCTTTGGATGAGGGCGTCACTTGCATACCTATGGCAGTCGGTAAGCAGAAGGGCTGAGAGTGAGAGACCCGCTGTTTTGAATGTCATTCAGCCGTACATGTTTGAATCGGAATATATAAATAGTCTCTGATCAGACCCAGATGACGAAGAGACTCAGGCAGAATAAACACAATTGCGAACGGACCAGTATGTCTCGGTATGGTTATTCAATACATTTATGCACTTATAGAGTTGCAATCGTGTCCCCTTTGAAATTATGGATGAATTATGGATATCACTGACAAACTGTGATAGTTTGCTACGTACAAGCGAAATTACGTTTCTTTATTTCAATTACATTGGTTTTAGGTCTACCCGCGACGTCTGCTGGTGACGCCCCTCTGGAAATGGTTTGTCTATGACTATGTCTTTGCCAGACCATATCTCAGTTACAACTGAGAATGAGGCTAAAAAAAGAACTCATTTAACAGCAGAATACCCATGCTGTGTCGCAATTTGCATACTATCTGTCCTAAATGGTATTCGAAAATTGAATTGGTATGTCCTAAATCGTAGTGTGTTGAAATGAGTGTTCCAAAGAGACCCGGATGGTCTACTTTATCCGGTCAGAATCCGAAGTGTAGATCGATGCACATTCTGACAGCTAATATTGCCCAAAACCCATCGCGCATTGGACGAGGATTTGACTAGAACTACAAACACGAGTGAAACGTTTAAAAAATATGCATAAAAGACCCACGACTGGCAGATGAACGTGGAACTACATTTCTCTCCAAAATGGTAAGAAATTAAATTAGATTGAATGGAGGATTTTAACTGTGACGAGATGATTGACAGGGCAGTTTACGGTGATAGGATGCACGCAACAGATCTGTATGTTGAAGATGATGGAGTAGTGTGTCCCAAAGCTTGCCTATGCTTTTGCTACACAAAAAGGCTACTTTTAGGGCGTAGTATAAGAAGGCGAATTGGGACGCAGCACCAATGAACATCTACATTGCCCATAATTCTGCAGAGAAATCTCCACAAATCAGAGAATTGAGACAAGCAAATTGCGCCACCCACTCTCATGAAGCACTGCAAATGATGTAGGCTAGTCAATTTCCCAACACTCTCAAGCAACTAAAATATTTTAATACCTTCATTAAAGCTGTTACAGTCTTGTACTTTGATTTGAAGCCAAAAAGTATTTAAAAATTGGACAAAAATTCATTTTTGGAATTTGTTTTAAAAGTTTTTTTTTATGTTGTGATTCACCATCAACTCGTAGCTGGTTGGTTTGGTTAGTGGCTTTTGAGATTTAACTAAGACTTCTTTTTTTTTACCTTCGAAACCAAAGCGCTGAAATGTGGGTGGGCACTAGAGAACAGCAAAAATCTGCTATTGGTCAGGAAAACAGACGTCCCTCCCCTAAACTCATGCCATTGGTTGAGCAAGTGTTGCTGTGTCAGGCTGTGTTGGAATGCTCAAACAAATAGAGCACATTATGACTGAAGAAGGGGCTTGTGGTCTTTTTTTTGCACAGGACAAAATAAGAAAAATGTATTATGGATTTTACAATTTGAATCTGTTTTGTAAAAACACTACACAAATAAATGTAAAATGAATTTAACTGAATCACACAAAGCTATTCCATAAGAATTGGAATACATCACACATGATACAGATGACTTTAATTATACTTTTTTTTTTCTAATTTTGGTGCCCGACACCCCCAGTCCCAAATTACTTTCATTATGTTTAAGAGTGTGCGGGATTCTTTAAAAATTCACCTTTTATATTTCACAGAATAAACATACAGTTTTGAAACAACATGAGAGTGAAAAATTAAATGACAGCATTTATTTATTTTTAATATTGGTGAATTCCAAAAGGTACACTGGACACATCTAGTTATTCTCCAATATTTGATATTCGATTGATATTTGATTACTCATACATTTTTATCAAATGCATCCCTGTACTTCACAATTCTTTAACTACCTTGCAGTTCCAAATACTGACATTCCTTCAGGAAATGCAAATCTAGCTTGATAAACTTGATTTAAAAAAAAAAATTCTTCACATCACATTTTGCCCTACCTGATATTTGAGGTGATAATCGGCCCGTTGGGAGCGGTTCTGCGCGTGGAGCCACAGCAGGAAGGCACCACTGTCGCATGGTCGAGGAGTCACCCGCAGGGGACAAGGGGGCTGTCAAAACATCACAATAACTACTAACAGCCAGTCAGCATGTGTCGGTTATTCATGCTAGAGTAACGACACAAACAAATCAACCACGTCAGCTTTAATAAAGCCCTTCAATAACAGATAATACACGTCTGTAATCATGATTTTATTTTGTGTCAGGCTCGCGCTAACTGGCTAGCCCGAGCGGGCACGCGCTGCTGTGCGACTGCATACAAAAATGAATTATCTTCGCCTTTGTTTTCACACTTGCAGCTGAACCCACTGACTTTGGCACTGCTTTTACTTCTGGCAGACAACGCGTAAAAGTCATGCACTACTACAACAAAATGCTCTGCTTTAGTTTTTGTAACGGATTTGCGTCTCGCAATATCACTTGTTATGAGTGCGGGAATGAGATGCCTTCATAGTAGCACCGCTTTGATGCACAGAGCGCTAAAGTAACTGTAATCCCGCTAGCATGAAAAGCTATGCCCAGCACGCAGTTATCCGCCTTACCTCCCCGCGCTACCGTCAAACTGCAGCCGGAGTTGAGCTGGAGAGCGGTCGGTGCACACCCTGGGTGTAATCCTGGCCCTCCCGTGCGCTCACTTACACTCCGAGGAGCTTCAACTAGCTAATGAAGGTGATCCGAGGAGGGTCACATTGTCCTGGGATGCCGCAGCATAATATTACTGGATATATGGAAGTCAACAATTGACCTCTCAACCCGCAGCGACAGTCCCATGTGGATGCAGGAAGTTGATGCCAGAAAAGACTCTCATACGTTTACTATCTTTAATGACATGTAAAAAAGATTTTCGCAAGTTCACATTTTCGGGAGTAGCTGTGAAATATAAAATGTGTGTACTTTTTTGTCAAGTTTGTTTACGTGTGTCAGATTTCGCAGGACTGCTATTCTGTATGGATTTATGCTTTCCTCTTTTGCACACAGCAATGTGAATGTTTATAATGTAGGAATGTTACTTGCACTGTCGACATGATGTTCATACTCCTGACCACAAATAAATCTTTGTTTTTTATTTATATTAATCCTGTATCATTTAGTTATTGCAATGTGCGAGATGAGTCACTACTTCATCCACCACAATCAAATTGAGGCTTCTACAAGAGGAATCAAAAACAAAAACATAAATCAAGACACAGACTAAACAATAAAATTTGCCTAAAGACAAATAAACAAATCCACAGAATTACTAAAATGTTTAATTATTAACACAATAATTTAGACGCCATACATTAGTGATCAATGTAATACTATTTTATTATAGCCTATTGGATAAAATGCATTTTTATAATAAATAAATAAATTAGCCTACAAGAGTCACATTTGTTAACATTAAAACATCAGCTAAAATGAACTAACCAACAATATGTTCACTTTCATGGAAATATTTTTTTAACCCTAGAATGCACAAAGAGGGGTCATAGAGGGGTTTTCTTAAAAAAAAAAAGGGTGTCCACTTAATTAAATAATTAAAGCTATTGATGACACAAAAATGTTACATAAAAATCAAACATAACGTTTCAACAAAATAATGTAAAGTATATTAGTCTGACTATGTAAAGTATCTAGTATGGAAAAAAAATACATCCAAAAAATACTGTTTTTGATAAACATTTCAAAAATCACAGTATGCCGGGTCAATTTGCATTCCCTTTAACCATTCTATGCAACTGTAACATGACCAATTTCATTTTTTTGAGGGTTTCATCATTCAAATGGTATGCGTCTATAGATGCCCCTCTGGAAGATGCTGTATCTCATTTTGAAAGGCTGATATGAGTGAGCCAGCTTACACAGACGTAAACGGATGATCCATCTAGCAACTCTGGTCTGCAAAGACAATCAAGATAATATCCAGGAGACAATAATATTACAGTAGTCTGCTGTGCTGACCATCCTCCCTCGGATGATATTAGTGCCGCTGGCTGTCTCCTGAACTGGACTTCCTTTCTTCTCCAAATTAACATACAACAAATGCTTAATGTTTACAAATCAAAGACGAACTAAAGGTTTAGATTAACCTCAATCCATGACTCCGAGTTAATCATTCTTTTTAAAAAAAATGTGTCATATAAATACGGTCATGTATTAGAAATGAATGGCAAAAGGACATCACAAAGAACAAGTAGGCTACTTAAAATGAAACACATGAAACAGAAATTTATTTTTCTTTTTTTTAAATTGGCCATACAGAAAAATAGAAAACAGCCCTTAGGCCTATATGTCAGAAGAAACATTACTAAATCAATCCAGTCTGACGAGACAGTTACTTATTATACAGTTTTTGATGTGACGTGAAATAGCACTTTGTAGACTGTACTGAAAACCAAGACTGTATTGAAATCCCATTTTGCCAGAGTTGAAGTACCAATAGTAGGCTACTTCAACTCTGGCAAAATTGGATTTCAATACAAGAGAGCCGTAGTACCCCCGCTAGAACAGAGAGGGCGCTACACTATCTGTGATGGGCTCATGTGCTCAGCCTGTTTTTTCAAGGCTCATGTACTGTATACTCTTGTCTACCTGCACCGTATGATATGCTATAACTTTGACATGCCCCGCATTTAAAATAAAATTCAAACTTATTCAAAATCATGCCTTCATTAGGCCTATTAACCATTTCATTGTCACCTTGCAATATATTGCCATATCGCATGTGCTTTGGTTTTGTTCCCCTTCAGTAGCACTTTTGCACTCATACTGCTTTTGTGTTGTTGCGATGATAATAATACAAAAGAGGTATAGCCTTGACTATACAGTAATAAATAAGTATAAAGTAGCCTAAACATGAGCACTTTTATTTAAAGTAGGCTACCAACAAAAAAGGCCATTTAATAAAGTATTCAAACATGTTCTCCAACAGAAAACGTTTTACTGGCCGAAATATTTCTTGCGATTTTCTTACCCTTTGTTTGTGTCCCTCTTGTGGAGAGAACATAATTTATGCAATTACATTGCATTGAAGACACTCTGAATCCAGTTTCTGGAATATTTTTCAGAATATCAGAACATTTAACAAATGATAAACTTACCAGCCTCAGAGGCCGACCTGTAAGGGAAATCAAGGGTACATCCCTGCACACAAACACATGTGTGATCAGGACAGGACAGACAGGAGGTGCAGCTCCTCTCTCCTGGAATATACTAGTGTCATGACCTAACAGAGGACTTAAACTTTTGAGGAAATTGTTCAATGGTAAATTCAGGTGAGTTACTGAGACAACCAAACTAAAAATGTTCATAAATAATTTTGAATCTGTGTTGAAGTTGACTGGTGATTTTCGTTCTGTTTGCAATGCTGAGCAAAGCCATGATTAATATTTGTTGTCATTATGTGGAGGAAAAAAAATCACTAAGCTTCATAGAAGGTCTGTTTATGGTTGTACCAAGCAAATGACAGTGTGCAGGACTTACTACTTAGGATATCATGTTAAAATGTATCTCTGTAGCATTTCCCATCACTATCGCAATTTTTTTTTTTCATTTCCCAAAAGTCCAACGAGCCATTTTCTGTTGAGTTTGCCATGCCAAGTGTACAAAGTGTGTAATGATTAACTGAGGTGACATCTCTCCTACAGCCCAAACTCTGTCCTCAGGGAAGCCTTTGTGTTTGTCCACCCACACTGCTCCGCTCCACTTCTAATCTTTCCTGCAGCTTTCACAGTCCTTCCCAGAGCACACCGGCAGAATATCTGTAACGCTTGTCAGCACAGCCACGTGAAATAAAATATGACTCTCCAAGTTTTAACTTAGTGTTTATGTAGTTGAGAGGAGGCAGTAAATTCATTGAATGACAGTAAAGTCAGCACAGAGCTCTTGGCTACCCCATCAGCTCTCTCTCTCTCTCTCTCAGGGGTGTGTTGTGGCAGTCTGGAGGAGCAGAAGGGGCTGATGAAGATGGGCCTTAGTATGGTGTTGGTAGGGCATGTGAACTTCCTGCTGGGCGCTCTGGTCCATGGTGTGGTGCTGAGACACTTCAGCCTCCACCGGGGACAGGCCATGGAAAGCGCCATCTCTAACGTCATAGCCCTGACAGCGGGCCTGCTGGTGAGGCACAACATTACTGTAAAATGGGCAATTTGATCTCATCAACTAGAGGAAAATTTTGTCCTGTCTTTTGCATATGTCAAGCCATTTGTTTACAGAGTATATTTGACTAGTAAAATAACAGGTGTATTTCATCAACATGATTCATTAATGTTTGACAGCTGTCCAAATTCTTTTGAAATCTAATGATTAAACTCCTTTTTGTGAAATATCTTGCTTGAAATATGTCCTTGTGGTATTTTTTTCTTTCAAATAAATTTCACATTGTTTTCATTGTGTGTATTTCGAGTGATGGCATTCATTTATTTTGAAGTGTGACTGTTTTCGAAATATTTGCTTTCAAATATTTTGGGGGCTGAGAAGAAATCATAAGAATGTGCTGTTCTATTTATCTAGGGTGTCCTTACCGGGATATTGACTATTGTTCTGTCAAAAAATGAGAAGAACAGGGTACTGGTAAGTAAGAACTTCTTGTGCACAAATTATGTCTCAGTTATAACAGTAGTTTACATTTTGTAATTAAAACTCACATTCTCTTGTAATCCTTAAAAGACAAAAAAATTAAACCTATAAGGTCACTTAATATTTCACTTCATAATCAAAAGAAAGAAGTCTATTTGAGTTCATTCATTAGTGTTAGTATCAGATAACAGACAAGAGCAGCGAAATTGTAACTGTTATAAGTAGAAGCAGTGCAACAGTAACGTGTCATTCATTCTCCAAGTATTCATCCAGCGCAGTCTCATCCCAAGACGTCATATAACTGACGTCTTGCGACGTCTTTTTACTAGGCTATACGTCAACATCCGCCGTTTTAGGGTACCCTTTAACGTCGGTTAGATGACGTTATCGGATAACCCTACCCCAGACCTAAACCTACCCCTAAACCTACCCTGTCACCTAACTGAAAGCGTCAGTTGTATGACGTCCCAGGATCGTCATGTAACTGACGTTAAAGGGTACCCTAAAACGGCGGATGTTGACGTATGGTCAAAAGACGTCCCTAGACGTCAGTTGTATGACGACTTGGGATGAGACTGTAATTCATCTTCTCATATCATATATCAAATCGCATACAGATGAACGTGTAATGAACGAACGTGTAAGCACAGTTATTACACGATTTAGATAAGTGCATCCAATCGCACAACTATCTGGCATGTCGTGTCCACCTCAAAACACCAACTTTTTTTGTATTAAAACTGCAGTGCGACGTCCTGGCACGATCCTTGATTACTTTACTGGCTTTCATTGCTAGAGAACGACCTGTGACGTTACATGCAAAGTATGAATTGTGACAATGGTGTGTAATTACATAATTTAAATAGTAAATTATTATTATATTTCACCATAAATCAGTTGAGTCTAATATAACTAAATATGCTCAGACATTGAAATTTGAGGGGAAATGTGCTTAATTGTCAATTGGCTATTATTTGACATAAAAAAGAGGCTAAAATTCTTAATGGGAAATTGAATTT